CATGAAATTACATTTCTTGGGATGCCTGCCTTTCGGTTTATACGAAATAAAAAGCATGCTCTGACAATGAATATGAGAATGTTTTTGAAAAGTCAGCCTAAATATAACATGGTATCAGGAATTGCCGCCTGTTTTTCTTCCTCTTTCAGGGAACATAAAGGCGATATACAGGAAAAATTTTCTCGGAGGACCTAAATAGTTGTCTGCGTATTGTCTTGCTAACTCTAACGATATCGAAGTGAAACAAGAGACGACATGCAACGATAAAATCATTTCGCCTTCTACCTTTTTTAGGTTCTTGCAGTTTCTTCAGAAACTCTACAGACATTGAAGAAAATTATGTTCTTTGGGATAACTAGTTAAACTTAATCTGCGAACTTTCTAGACAGGTTTGCCAGCTCGTCTTCAGCCTAACGGGATGGAATTCATAAACATCTCAAAAAAGGGAAGAAGAGACGAGGGCCGCGCAATGCAGACTGACACAAGCCACAACTACCAATCAGCACTCATAACATATTACCATTAATTTTTTATGGCATGTTTGACATTTTATTTGTTCTTTACACATGTTTGTTAGTCCGAATACGAGCTGAGGAACCAGTCTCGAAAATTCGCAGATAAAATTTATATTTTATCCCAAAGAGCTTTTTTTCAAGCTAAATTTTTTCAGGTGCATGAGTTCAACTCTATACAATTGTTGATTGATATTCAACTATCTTTCATCAAGGAGTGGACCTTTCAATATAAACTCTTCAACATTTTATAATTAGGTGTACGGATTAAGGAAACCATCGGTTGAAGTGGTACATCGGGTTGTTGTACCTTAGGCAGTCTGTAAGTCATAGCTATACTTTGTTCAGTTCCTCTCAGGGACTTCGCAATATCTCTCGATAATGTTTTCCTTCCTGTTAGATACCTACGTACCTTACAATAGCTGCATTCTGTAGTTTGATAAGGTTCGCCTTAACACGCCTGTAGCTTGACTGTTACGACTCAAGCCTGGTACTTGTAATTAGAACGAACGGTTTACTAACCGACCACGGTACCCAAAACACGGTACGATAAATGTTAGAGAAGATGAGCGACCACGAACAGCGTGTATAACCACCCAGCAAGTTAGAGTAACTCGTTCTCCCATAAAGGCTGAATGCATTTAATGGGCCGCGAGAGAGACATATTCCGAGAAAATGGGCCAATCGGAATTGAGGATACAAGACCGGCCGACATAACGATAGCTCACGACACCTTTGCACGTGCTGACTTATTATGAGAATAGCCGCATTCCCAACAGTAAACTTGTACGGTATTATCAAATAGGAATGAACAAGAAAACGGCCAATTGAGACTAGATGCTAACGAACCGATATTTATTTTGGTAAAAAAAGACTAGGTGGTATTGATTTTGTTTAGGGCAGTTTTGAAGTGCCAATAGTTGTACGCAGGCACTACATGTCTGATGACGACCTGCTGAACCACTCTCGAAAATATGCATTATGAGGTGTTGTTTTCCTTTTCCTAAAAAGACTGCTTTCCCTGAATATTTACATACTTTTACATTTTTGAAATTCGAATGTGTGCTGCAGCATTTATCGAAGAGGAATTTGCAATTTGCAATTATTTTTTGCATCCTGAGTAATAAGTATGCTCCTTTGTGCTAGAATTAATACAATGGTCTGATATATGGTTTAAATTCCTTAGGACGATGTCTCATCCTTTTATAAATATCGTAGCTTACACCCCCCGCGTGCGTACAACTAAACTCTGGCCTGACTTGTTACTGTCGACACAATGTGAGGTGCATTCTTCTGCCTTTGCGATATGTCCCATAAACCTTTGGCAAATCACGTAATAACTAAAAGATAAAACCAAAAGAAGATTTTATTGCAGCACAGGTTCTTCCGACCGGATTCATATCAACAAGTTCTAATTGAAAGCGTTAGCCACAAATAGTTTTTGGTCCGTCATCCAGAATTCGTTGCAGTGCCGCCATAAGGACATAATCTTGCCGGTGGAAACTGGTCGTTGTTTCCAACAACCTTACCCGCGTTGTTTTCAGTTTGCCTATTACACTTGCGTTGTCCTCGCAGACGTCCAATTCTCCGGATATCTGGTAGGTCTTTCCATCGAGTGTATGATCCATAGTATTTATCTTCTTGCCCTGAGAAGAAAATAATTTACTGAATTAGTAAACAGCACTTCCTTTAAGTTTGGGTCAGACAATCTATATTACAACAAAATAGTAGAAAGGGATTTCGAGGCAGAAGCCATAATGCACTGCTCTTCTATTGCAGTGCAAATGCTGGAAGGGGGAGGTGGTAACCCGAGGATGTAAAAACATTGCCATCCTGTTATTTTGGTAAACATTTTTGTTGTAAATTTAGCCAAAGCTGCGATATCACCGTCTAACTACGTCTTGTCCGAGTAAGAACACAACACGAAGAGCGCTAAAGTAGAAGTATTTTCCATACCTAGTAATGAATACTTATAGCAAGCAAAGGATACACGATTGGTCCAATCAAATTGTTCTCTTGAGGGGTAACACTGTGACTGGCTGTCGGGCCGAACAGAGTGATAGCACAGAACACTAATCATGGGTGGCGGCTTTATCGATCTCATCATTCGTGCGGCTTGCATCGGTCGATAGTGCACCGTGGGGTGAGTAGTCAGGACAGCGTAATAACGGGTCATTAGGCCTGCCCTTAACAATTGAATCTTCTATGTGTGCTTTGAGAAGATGAAAGCTGAAATTTTCTGAACGCATACCACGGTTATATAAAGGTCTGCCTGAACTGTCAGGAATCTCAGCGTTTTGTTATTTAGTACTTTGCTTAAATTCTTGTTGACGCGTGTAAACATGCCCTGCACTGACCGTAAGGACCGCAAAATGGAACTAATTTATGTTATACCTCTTGTCCAGAAATGGTGAGCATAGAGGACTCCAGCGCTGACGCATGACCCTTAAGGCACAGCAGAGCATCGGGCAGGAACACATGGAATGGATCCCTACGGGCCTTAAAACATATCAGCTTACATACAATAGACGAAGCAAATTGTTTAAGGGGAAATTCTGTGTATAAGGGTAGTTTATATACTGACGGCTGTTAACTTTTACCTGCAATCATGTGAGCAACCACTGTTTAAATTTCTCTACTGTATCAATACATTTTTAAGTTACTATGTCACCGACAGGGAGTTCAAATGCGTTTGCTCTTCCTTCCCCGAATAAAAGTGAACTGAGTTAGTCACTCCCACATATGTAATGCTGCGGGCTTTGCAACTCACATACTGATATTTTATATCATACTGAATGCTGCTTGTTTGTCGCATTGCCGCACAACTAGTTAAACATAGTGTGACGATACCCCTACTTGGTAGTGGACCAAGCATACAGGCATAAGGATACCGTCAAGAAAATCACTCACTTGACTAGTTATACGCTGCAGCAGCGCAAAGTCGAAGGGGACCACGCAAGACCATGACATGTTGCTGCGGGCAATTGAGCAAGTCACAGTGAAGGTCGAGGAAGGTGCTATTCGGATAACACGTTTATACCCACGAACGAATACACGAGCTTGCGATAAGAAGTCCTTAAGCGTATTCCCCAGTGCCATCGCGTCGAAAGGAATACGGTATTCTGAAAAGGAAAGACTCCGGTAATCATATTTAGGTTTCACAAATGGCATCGCTAAATACAGCATCAGTCAGTTTGAAGTGCAAACTCATAATAAAACTTGACGAACCTGGAATAAAAGGGCTGAGTGTGTCTAACTGGATGCCTAGGAGATAAAAAAGGAGATGGCAAATGAAGTTTTATTATAATAATGACGATCCTAAGGAAATAATGTATCTGTCTTACGCTTTTTTCACTAAGACAGTAACAGACAATCACAGAAACCAACTCGGACTTAGTACATGGGCATAAAATGCAGTCTCAGTTCAATTTAGGTCACTAGACAGAACCGGAAAAAACCCACCATTTTGTTAAATGGGACAGATGCTAATAACGGTTAAATGGGTGGGACGTCTCAAGTAAAAAAAATAATTAAAAAAATAGAGACTATAAAAGTAAAAATAATAGAACTAATCATTTAAATAACCGTACATTTGGACACAATTATCGACTATACGTCAACTCTAAATCATCTCCATATCAACTCCATATAGATGATGTAGATGTGAACTCCTTCTTACGAAACGAGCAAACTACTATATTCCCAATTTATCAGGAGTTTAAAGTGCATTGTTGATTCAATTGATGAGCCTTGGCAGTTACTATACTGTATGGTTGACTGTGTTTTATTAGTCTTATTGCCTTTCGGGTAATGTTCCTATGATTTAATGGGATAGGACATATATACACTCTGGAATGCCGATTTTGATATATTTACGTCGATGGTTCTCTGTCCAGCTCCACCTATCCATCGTGAAATCAGAAGTGTACATATCAGGGTGCCCTTTTAAAACTGTTTGCACGTTGCAAATATTTCTTTTAGAATTGATGGACACGAGTACTCTCTGCTTGCTTAATAGTTTTCTGAATACGGTTATGAGAACATTTGCAACTCAGCAAGAAACAAAGATATACATTTGTGCCAAAACTATTTTAAAGGTCGATTTAATATGGAAGTAAAGCATATTTCTGATGACAAAAGGCTTATCTCTGTTCGGGAATTTGATGTGTGTCGGTCACGCCCAAGACAGACCAAGTTAAGAATTAACGCCGGAATATACACCACGAGACTTTGTGGTAGTCTCCAAAGGACATTGGAAATACATTGGTACCTTATCTCCTAGAAGGCACCACACACGTATCTCCGATTCGCAAAAAATGCCTTCAAATTTAAATGTCCTCTATAATGGTTAGTATGGCACAGGGAGATTTATTTTAGGGACTACTTACCTTGCCAATAAACTGTCTGCGTCTGAACATCGTTAGAAGAATTGCAAATGATAATTGCCTGCTCTGCGTTCATAGCTCGCTCGAAAGCATAGGTAAATATGAACTGGTCGCCCTCCTCTTGTACGTCTAAATAGGTATGAGAAAACAGGTAGGATTTTTCTTAACAGATGAAAAAAATGAAGGCTATGAAACAATGCTTACGGCATTTTCCGCTCTCCTGAGAAGTCGTGATTCCTGCGCACAATAATTTGTCGTCAACGGTGCACTCTAATTTCTATAAGAAAATCAATATTTAACACATAGGCCAAAAAGTTGACAGAGCTTGCCAATAAAAATACGATCCGGTGTGCCCTTATCATTCCTTTAATTATTAGCTCCGTCTCAAAACTTTCCCGATCTTAATGAATGATTTGCCATTGCATTTAACTCAAAAACAATTATTAAAATATGTATTCAACTGGAAGATTTTGAAAACATTGCAAATCTGAATCGCAACTGCCCTGACTGTCAGCCAGCCTTGAGTGGCAAATGGCTAGTTGAGGGTTGTCTGAAAATGATTCCTACTAGAGGCAAATTCTGATCGTAACATCTGAATCAGTGCACTCTCGGCGCTTACAGCTGTTCAGGTGAAACGAATTCAGAGAGAAGATTATGCTATCGTCTGAGAGGAATATAAAATTCGTTCTTGGTTCACCGGGACACTTGTTACTTACCCTATATTCACGTGGTCCCCAACTTCTCACGGTCCATTGCAACTGCGCTATATCTGAACTACTGTGCACCTGTTTATCCTTGCCCAAAAATGCGTCCACACCTAGAAACAAAAACAAAATATTCTAATTCACTTGCTAATACCGGAAGTCTACTCAAAGAGAGAATGTTTAGAGTAGACGCTTGTGGTCTCGGAATCGGGTTGCAAGAGAAAGCGAACTTTACCTGGCCAAATATAGCGATATGTGGCATGTTCGAAGGGGTGCTCATCGAGGTAGATGCATGTAAAGAAGATTATAGGTTTTTCTCCTTGTGTCACATTGAATTTTATTACTGACTCCCGCCCCTCCTCAACCTCCTCTAAAACTAAATATGACAATAAAAAACCATGTCAGCCACATGTAATAGTATTATAGTCGAAAATATTTCAATCGCTATAAAGTAACTTACTACACGGACTCAAGTTTCCACAAAGTCGAGCCTCACTCGAAACGCATGAGAGCTGTAATCAAAAGATTTATATTCGGGTTATTGAAGAGCATGCACTGAGTGCCGCAATGCAGCGCCGTTTTTTCTCAACAGTACACCAATAGGGTACGAAATGGTCCATGTGTAAACAAGTAGGTATGATAAAACCATAGTGTAAGGTCGTAATTTGTATTTTATAATGACAAAAAGGTACAGAAGAAGAAGGTGCGATCACTGGAACAAGGGTTTTATTTTCCTGGCGTTTCGGATTCCCTCGGGAATCCTTAATCATAGTTAATTGTAGGAAAGTCGGAGCCATGCGCAGATAAGGGTGATACATGCACAGGTTGCACAGTATTTAGAGTTCGTAGCGGTCATCCGCATGCGTACTATAATTGTCAGTTCACGAAGCCACCGCTTGAGGCCTTAATTGGTGCGGTGATGGCTCATTAATTGCGCAACTCCAACTCCAGGCCAGAAGCAACCATCAGGCCCCGGGTCATGAGACCGAAAGACCCACTGCCACGGCAGGAAACGGCTGC